CCCTTTCCCAGGGATCTGATCCTGCTCAGGAGCTGGGCAAGGATGGTGAGAGGAGGGAGCAGCAGGATGGGAATCCCAGATTTCCACTCCAGGATCTCAATTCCCAGTTTCTTTTTCTCTTTAAACTCCCAAGGTTATCCCGAATTTCCCCTCCTTACCCTCACACACCTGTGGCTGTGCCCTGAGCTCTCCCAGGAGGAAAAATCCCTGGAATTCAGCAGGGCCTGGGCAGGATGGGGCTGCCATGGATACTGTCACCATGGAGCTGTTGTCATTGTGACCCTGCTGTGGATGGAGGAAAGGGAAAGGGAAAGGGAAAGGGAAAGGGAAAGGGAAAGGGAAAGGGAAAGGGAAAGGATTCCCCTCTGAATTCCTGCTGGAAGGTTTTTTTTAGGAATTCCTCACTCACCCAGTGAGGTTTATTCCCCTCTGAGTTCATTCCGGAAGGGATTTTTTAGAAATTCCTCACTCAGTGGAGTTTATTCCCCTCTGAATTCATTCCGGAAAGGGTTTTTTAGGAATTCCTCACTCAGGCGTTGCCATCACAAGGTACCAAATCTCTGCTCTGACTGTGGCACTCCTGATTTATCGTCCATCCAAAAGGGGAGAGTTTGGCAGCTGGGAACAGCTGGAACAGCTCAGGGGAGCTCCAAACCCCTCCTCTGCAGCTGGGAGAGGCTTTTGTGGAGATTTTAGGGTGGGAGAGGCAGAAATTAGCCAGAGCTGGAGCTGGCAGAGGCGCAGGAAGAGGGAGGGAAGCTTCCGGAAGCATTCCTGCTCCTGCTGCAGGGATCTGTGCCCTGGGAGCTGGCTGGGATCCCACTGGGATGAGCTCACTCGGAGCTGGAGCTGCTCTGGGGCAGCTGGGGAAGGGAAAATCCCCAGGATGATTTTTAGATGGTGACTGAGAGAGGCTTTATGTATCATTTTTGGTCTAATTTTCTAATTTTTGGCATAATTTTTTATATAATTTTCGATTTTTCTGCGTAACTTTTTGCCTAACATTCTATTTCTCAGCATAATTTTCTGCCTAATTTTCATCATAATTTTCTGGCCTAATTTTCTTCATAATTTCCTGCATCATTTTTGGCTTAATTTTCTGTATAATTTTCTATTTTTCTGTGTAATTTTCTGCCTAATTTTCATTTTAACTTTTGGCCTAATTTTCTATATAATTTTCTCTTTTTCTGCATAATTTTCTGCCTAATTTTTGTCCTAATTTCCCGCATCACTTTTTACCTAATTTTGTATTTTTTGACATAATTTCCTGCATAATTTTTTGCCTAATTTTGTATTTTTTGTCACAATTTCCCCTGGATTCCTTTCCCTGGATCCCTTTAGCATGCAGCTGCTCCTGGCTGGAACTGGAGCCATAACGAACTCACAGCTCGTTATCTCTGGGGCTATAAAACCATTCCTGGTGGGATTTTGGCCACGTTTTGGGTGATTTTTGCCATTTCTGAGCCAATCCAAATGCACAGAGCGGGGCTGTGGGGATCTCTGAGGGAGCTCAGCCTCGTCTGGCAGTGGGAAGGGCTTGGGGGGAGGCCAGGGATTGTTGTGCAAAAAGAAAAAGGAAAAAATCCTGGCAGGGCTTCAGCAGGAAGGGAGAGCGGCAGGAAACGCTCAGGGCACGGGGCCAGGACAGGCTCAGGCTGGGACAGAGCTTCATTCAGAGCTTTTTGGGGTGAAAAGAGCCAGTTCTTGGCCAGTTCTGGGACAGAGCTTCATTGAAATCGTTTTGGGGTGAAAAGAGTCAGTTCTTGGCCAGCTCTGGGGGTAGAGCTTCTTTCAGAGCATTTTGGGGTGAAAAGAGACAGTTCTTGGCTAGCCCTGGGGACAGAGCTTGATTCTAATTATTCAAATATTCATTTTGGGGTGAAAAGATTCACTTCTTGGCTCGGCTGAACATGGCTAAGGTTTGTTCAGGAGGCACAGATGGGATGGGATGGGATCCATGGGATGGGAATGGATTCTCATTCCCACATTCCTCCAGGATGGAGCAGAATTGGGACAGAGCTTGATTCAAATAATTTTGGGGTGAAAAGATTCAGTTCTTGGCTGAGTTGGGTTCCTGCAGATCCATGGGATGGGAATGGAAATGGGAATGGGAATGGGAGTGGTGGGGAGCAGATGTGGATTCCCATTCCCAGATTCCTCCAGGATGGAGCAGCATTGGGACATCACCTTATTTCAATTCTTTTGGGGTGAAAAGATTCAGTTCTTGGCTGAGTTGGGTTCCTGCAGCTGGGAGAGGCTGAGAGTCCCTGGGATTTGCTCAGGAGGCACAAATGGGATGGGAGTGGGGATGGAATGGGATGGAAATGGGAATGGGATGGAAATGGGAATGGGGATGGGAATAGGGATGGGATGGGATGGGATGGGATTTATAGGATAGAATGGGAATGGGGTGGGATGGGAATGGGAATGGGGATGGGAAGAGGGATGGGGTAGGATTTATGGGATAGAATGGGAATGGGGTGGGATGGGAATGGTGAGGAGCAGACATGGATTCCCACTCCCGGATTCCTTGGGGATGGTGCTGAGGTGGCATTTCCTCATCCCTGAGGAGTCATCCCAGGTCCCCAGGCTGCTTGTGTAACTCTGCCTTTCATCTCTGACACGCTGGGAGCAGTGGGAGGATGGAAATTTGGGAGTGGAGCTGGCACAGCCTCAGCTTGTCAGCAGTGAAACTGGGATTCCTCAAGGGAAGCAGGATCTGTGGGATCTGCAATTCCATCAGTCAGCAGGAAAAGGACATTTTAACCCCAAAAATCCGGTGCTGTGCAATTCCTTCAGTGAGCAGGAAAAGGATGTTTTAACCCCCAGAAATCCAGTGCTCTGGAATTGTATCAGTTAGAAGGAAAAGGACATTTTAAACCCCAAAACCCCAGGGATGGACTTGGGCATGGTGTGCCCTTGAAGGGTGGGAAATCAGGGGTTGATCAGGCCCTGAGATGCAGAAAGAAAAATCCCTGAGCAGCAGAGCCAGGTGTGTGGGAGGATTTGGGATTGAATTTTGGGATCTTTTTGCTTTCCACTCCCAGCTTATCTCAGAGTTCCTCTCCCCAAGCCTCCTTAGGATATAAAAGTACCTGAAAAATGCCTGATAAATGTAATTTTCTTTGCTTTCTGGATCTCCTTTACAACCAAATAAATAACTGGGATCTCTACCCTTGCATTCAAGCCCTTTTAACCTTTTCCATCAAGCCCATACCAAATAAAAAGCTCCAATTTTTTGCACCTTGTGTTCCCCAGCCCCAAAAACATCTCCCTCCTCCACAGAGCCCAAATTTATCCATGGGTTGGGATAAAAATAGGCAGTAAATTATAGATTAATAAATCATAGAATAGATGAAGGAAGATGAACATAAATGAATAAATGATAGAATTATATTAAATTACAGACAGGAAATCTGCTGCCTGGATTGCAGATTCCACAATGGCTTCCCTGGAAAGACAATGATTCCCAGGAAATCCAGCTCTTCCCTCTTTTCCAGCTGCTCTTTGTGCCCAGCTATCAGCAGCACGAGGAAACCGAGTGGAAAAATTGAATCTGGCAGCAGATGCATGAAGGCACACGAGCCCCAAACCCAGGCACCAAAAATAGCTGAAAGAGGGGGGGAAAAACCTGAAAAGAGCCTTTTTAACGATTCCTTTTCTTTCCAAAGCTTTGCCCCCGGGCACAGCCACGCTGCTGTTTATGTGTGTGGGAGGCAGAGCAGAGTGGGAGAGCTGCTGTTTCTTTATTTTATATTTCTTTGATTTGTTATTCCATGGAAAAACTCCCTTTTTGTTGTTGTTTTTTGGCTGTGTTTTCCATGTTTTCCAAGGGCTGGTGGTGGCCAGGGCCCTGGGCACTGAGCTCCAGCCTGGATTTCATTTTCCAGGGGGTTTGGAGGGAGTTTAGGAAGGAAAAAAGGGGAACCCAGCATTTTTTTACTGGAGAATATTCCTGGGATGAAGACACCCAGAGCCCAAGACATAAATCCTGATGGTTCCTGCAGGAATTTTGAGGATTGAGGGTGTCCTGTCCTTTTCCTGAGAGCAGGACCAGGTCATGTCCCTCCAAACCCCATCCCTGCAGCTGGCACGTGCTCAGGGCTGGGATTTTTCCAACTTTGGCTGGAATATTTCAGGAACCAGCTTTTAAAATCCTGATCCCACAAACCTGTGAAGCTCCCTGACTAAAATTAGGATTCCAGACCCTTGGTGGTGTGAGGTTTGACCACATTCCCAGGTGTGTGGTTAAAGAAATAAAGAAATCACCCTCTGAGTGCTGTGCCAGGGAACACCCTCAGCTCTGCAGGGTTTGCTGCTCTCTGCCCTCCCAAAATCATTCCAGGAGCACATTCCTGAGCCTAGGAATGCCTCCTGCAAGTGGCTGATGTCATGTTTGCCTCGGAGAGGGAGGCCTGGTGACCTTTGCATCTGGGCTGTGACAGCTCCTCGCTGTCACATCTGCCTGCTGACGTGGAAAAGGAGCAGATCCCAAAATCCTGGAGTGGATTTATCCCTATCCAAGCACAGCCCCACGTGTGTGGAGGAGCTTTTCGGTGTTCAGAGGCCCAAGGGCTGCTCTGTGTGGGTCTCAGGGGTGGTGCCTGAGGTTTAAAGGTCATAATTCAGCACTTCAGAGAGCCTGGAAATGGGATTTGGTGGTGCTGGAATGAGGAATTTGTGCCTGGTGGGGCTGGATGGAACAAGGGTTATCCCTGTGTCAATTAGCACTGCTGCTAATTAACAGAACAATGCCACTGAATGAATTTGCTGGGGGTGTCTTCCCAGCCCTGGAATCATCTGGATCATCTCCATCTCTTTTCCCAGCCCTGGACTTCGTTCCTGAGGGATTCAGCGCCAACATCCCAGTGGGAATAGCGAGTCCCTCAGCCCCTCTGATCCTCCTCACCCCTTCCTGGCCTCCTACCCAATCATCACAAGCCACCAATTAACGATTCCTTACTGCTAATTAACGATTCCTCCTCACTGGTCTGTTGCAGGGCAACCATCGATGAGGTGGAAACGGATGTGGTGGAGATCGAGGCCAAGCTCGACAAGGTGAGGGCAGATTGTGGTCTGAAGGACACTGCTGGATCCCCTGCTCAGGAATGGGGTCCCTCCAGGTGTCCCCTAAAATCTGAGCCCATTTCCAGCTGTTAAATTCAGATTTAGCACCCCAGACCTGGGGCCTGGCAGGTGTGGTGGAGATGGAGGCCAAGCTTGACAAGGTGAGGGCAGATTGTGGTCTGAGGGGGACTGGTGGATCCCCTGCTCAGGAATGGGGTCCCTCCAAGTGTTCCCTAAATTCTGAGCCCTTTTCCAGCTCATAAATTGATGTTTAGCACCTCAGGCTTGTCCCCAGGACTCCTCTGAGCTGGGATAAGAGCTCCAGTCCAGCTCCTCCTGGGACAGGCTGTCCTGTCCCAGGATGGGATTTCATCCCTGTCCTGGACTGGGATTTTACCCCTGTCCTAACCTGGGCTGGGATTTTATCCCTGTCATTTCCTGGGCTGGGATTTTACCCCTTTTCTCTCTTGGGTGGGATTTTGTCCCTGTCCCTGTCCCAGGGTGGGATTTTCCCGCTGTTCCACCCGTGACAGTTCCCAGCACAGCAGGAACGGGAAGGGCGCCTGTCCCAAAGCTCTGGGCTGGGTGTGGGACAAAGCCAGGCTGGTCTAAAGCCCGTGCTGAGCTCATGTCTGTGTGTCCCCTTGTCCCCATGTCCCTGTCCCCATTTGTGTCCCCATGTGTGTCCCCCTGTCCCTGTCGGTGTGTCCCCAGCTGGTGAAGCTGTGCAGTGGCATGCTGGAGGCTGGCAAGGTTTACATCACCACCAACAAACATTTTGTCAGCGGCGTGAGGGACCTGTCCCAGCAGTGCAGGAAGGACCAGATGATCTCGGTGAGCCTGGGGGGCTGGGGGTGCTCAAATTCCTGATTGGGGGGCTGCGGGTGCTCAGGGGGCTGGGGATGCTCAGATCCCTGTTCCTGGCTCAGGGGGGAAGATCCCTGCTGCTGGGAATGGATCACAAATCCAAGCCCCTCACGCTGCTTAAGCAGCCACTGAAAATGAGATTTGGTGGGAAATCAGAGTGAGATCCACTCAAAATGAGATTTGTGTTTGGAGGGATGCAGAGAATCTGATAATACCAGGCTGGGAGGTCAGAGATCCATTTAAAATGGGATTTGCTGGGAGGTCAGTGTGAGATCCATTTAAAATGAGATTGGGTGAAAGGTCAGAGTGAAATCCATTCAAAATGAGATTGGGTGAAAGGTCAGGCTGAGATCCACTCAAAATGAGCTCTGGAGGGCGATCAGAGTGAGATCCACTCCAGCTGAGCTCTGCAGGCAGGTCCAGGCTCTGCAGGCAGTGCTGGGCTCTGCAATGTAGGTCAGTGAGCAGCAGGGATTTGGGAGGTGAGCAGCCCACGCAGAGCTGCACACGTGGAGCTCAGCTCTGCACTGCCAAGGAAAGTCTCCAAGGGCTCAAAACCCTCCCTGGCAAGGACCAGGGGCTCCTCAGAGCCTTCCTGAGCCTCCGCCCAGCCCTGGCAATGAGGGGCAGCTGCTCCTCTTCACTGCCAGGTCCCTTCACCTTATTTATTTTTATTTTATTTTATTTTTATTTTATTATAATTTTATTTTATTTTTATTTTTTATTTAATTTTAATTTAATTTTATTTTTAAATTTGTATTTCATTACTTTCATTTAATTTTTACTCCTTTTTTAATTGTATTTTATTTCATTTTTATTGTGTTGTATTTTACTGTATTGTATTGTATTTCATGGGATTATTTTGTGGGATTTTATCCCTGTCCTTTCCTGGGATGGGATTTTCCCCTGTCCATGTATTGTATTTTATTGTATTTTATTTTATTTTTATTATTGTATTGTATTTTTGTTTTTTCAGGAGTGCCTGGATAAATTTGGGGACAGCCTACAGGAAATGATCAATTACCACATGGTAAGGGGCTGCCTCCTGCTCTCCCCTTGGGTGCTGGTGGCATTGCTGATGTCCCCTGTGTTTGCCGCAAACAGAGGTCCTGCAAGGGGGGCAAAAAAAAGGACGAGAATTCACCAAAATCTTGCACTCCAGAATTTTCTTTTCTTCCTTTTGGGCAGCAGAGGGAGGACACACAGAGCCCTGAGGAGGATTTTGGCCCGTAAAAACCTTTTGGGGGCAGATTTTTTCCCCCTTTTTCAAAATAATTGATATTTTTTCCCCTCTTCTCTCTTCCAGATCCTGTTTGACCAGGCCCAGAGGTCGGTCCGGCAGCAGCTGCACAATTTTGTCAAAGAGTGAGTGTTTATTTAGTGTTTGTCCTTTTCCTTCAATTTGCAGCTTCCTGAGCTTCCCATTCCTCCTGTCCTGGGAATGCAGGGAGCAGAACCAGAACCTCCCTGCAGGGCTGATCCTGCAGGATGAACATCCCAAAATCCACCTGCAGGGCTGATACTTCAGGAAAAACCCATCCCAAAATCTGCAGAGCTGATCCTGCAGGATGAACATCCCAAAATCCACCTGCAGGGCTGATACTTCAGGAAAAACCCATCCCAAAATCTGCAGAACTGATCCTGCAGGATAAACCCATCCCAAAATCCACCTGCAGAGCTGATGCTGCAAGATAAACCCATCCCAAAGTTCAGATCCTGCAGGGCTAATCCTCCAGGATAAACTCTTCCCAAAATTTAGATCCTACAGGCCAAGCCCATGCCAAAATCCATCTGCAGGGCTGATCCTACAAGATGAACATCCCAAAGTTCAGATCCTGCAGGGCTGATCCTGCAGGATAAACTCATCCCAAAATCCATCTGCAGGGCTGATCCTCCAGGCAAAACCCATCCCAAAGTTCAGGTCCCTACAGGCCAAACCCATCCCAAAATCTGCGGGGCTGATCCTGCAGGATAAACTCCTCTGAAAAATCAGACCCTGAAGGGCTGATCCTGCAGGATGAACATCTCAAAGTTCTAAAGAAAGACTTGACTGAAGCTGGAATGGACACACTGGGCTGAGCTGGGATCCTGCTGGCACCCCTGTTTTATTCTCACTTTCTAACCTTGCTTTCTCCCCATTTCTCCCAAATTGTCCCATTTGTGGCCCCAGTGACGTGAGGAAGTTCAAGGAGACCAAGAAGCAGTTTGACAAGGTGCGGGAGGACATGGAGATCTCTCTGGTGAAGAACGCGCAGGCGCCGCGGCACAAACCGCACGAGGTGGAGGAGGCCACGGGCACGCTGAGCATCACCAGGAAATGCTTCAGGCACCTGGCCCTGGACTACGTGCTGCAGGTGGGGCACCTCACCCTCTGAAGCCTCTGGGTTTCAATCTTCTATTTTTCAGATTTACTGGATGGGTCTGGGCTTCATATTAGGGGAAGTTGTCCTGCTCAAATTCAGGATTTTCCTGATTTTCCCGACTTTTCTGGATGTCCGTTGCGGCTGTTGGGCAGCTCCAGCTGCTCAAATTCAGGATTTTCCTGATTTTCCTGACTTTTTCTTTTTTTCAATTTCAATTTAAATCCTACATTAGGCTCTCTTCACAGAGTAGGGATGTTGGAATAGGGTTTGTTTTTGTTTTATTTAGAAATGGGGTAACTGAGAGGTGTTTGAAAAACTTTTATTCCGTTTTCAGTCTCATGTGAAGGGTGAGACAATACAGATGTAATTCACACCATCATAATCAGAAGTTAACTGTTTTCTTAATTTCTTAGTTATACTAATTTCTTAATTATAATACATAGTAATTATATTACTAATTTCTTAATTATGATGTGATATAAGTGTTTCTTGGCCTATCAGTGTTAGTTATACCATGCTGTAAATGCTTTAATAATCTAAAATTACCCTTTTAATAAATAATTTCAATAAATTCTATAAAATTTATACATATATACATAAATTATATTAAAATTATATCAATATATAAAATAATTAAACAGTAAATTATATATTACATATAAATATATATATAATATTACAATATTTATATAAAATTTTTATATTTTTATATATATATACATACACAAATTATATAAATTATCATAACATCTTTTCAATAAATTATTTGCTCTTAGTAAGAGAAAGGAATATAAGTTTCCCCAGCAGTGATTTTAACCAGGTGAGAAGTGTGCATTTATTGCACCTTTTCCAGAACCCACCTTACAGGCACTTTGCACTGGAATAATTCAGGAATAATTTGGGATTGATTTCCCAGTGGATCTGGAGATTCCCAGGCTGGCTTTGCTGCTGGTGCTGAGAGGAATATTTTTATTTTTTCCCCCAGATCAACGTGCTGCAGGCCAAGAAGAAATTTGAGATCCTGGACGCGGTAAGAGCTGCAGGAGAGGAGCCCTGGCTGCTCCTCAGGGAGAAAATTCAATTTTTGGGGATTTTCAGGTGCTGCTTTCCCTTCTTTGTGCCCACAGCAGAGTGCAAGGAAGGAGAAGAGGGATAAATTGCTTGGGGAAAGTAAAAAATAAAGAATTAAGAAAGAAAAATTAAAGAAAGTAAAAATAAATTATTTTGAGGGGGGAAAGGGTTTAGGGTTTTTTACTCTACCCCAGGAAATGGAGTAAAGCAGGGATAAATTGCTTTGGGAAAGTAAAAAAATCAAAGGTTAAACCCATTTTTTATGGGGAAAAAGGGTTTAGGGTTTTTTGACTCTGCCCCAGGAAATACTGATTTGTGCCCACAGTGAAGTGGAAGGAAGGAGAGGGATAAATTGCTTGGGGAAAATATAGAGAGTTAAACCTAATTTTTCTGTGGGGAAAAAAGGATGAGGATTTTTCACCCTGGCGCTGACCCAGCTGTTGTTTCTGTCCCCAGATGTTGTCCTTCATGCACGCGCAGTTCACCTTCTTCCAGCAGGGTTACAGCCTCCTGCACGAGCTCGACCCCTACATGAAGAAATTGGCCACCGAGGTGAGGGGGGCCTGGGCTCTCCTGAACCCCAAAAGGGTTTGGGACTTGGGGTTCCCCTTTTGCTGCCCCATGGCCAGCAGGGAACACCCAGGGGCTGCTGCAGGAGTGGGGCCCACCCACAGCTGGCTTTTGGCCTCCCTTGTGCCCCTTTTCCCTCCTTTTGGCCTCCTTTTCCCCCCTCCTTTTTGCCGCTTTTTTGCCTTTTTCTTGCCTTCTTTTCCGCCTTACTTTTCTCTCCTTTTTCCCTCCTTTTTACGTCTTTCTTTCCTTCTTTTTTCCCCTTTTTGCCTCTTTTTTCCCTGCTCCTTTCCTCCCTCCTTTTCCCCTCTTTTTCCCCCCCTTTTTCCCCCTTTCCTCCCTTTTTGGTGCTTTGGGCCCAGGATATCTCTGTCCCACCCCATCCTCTCCATCTCCATCCTGATTTTCCCCCGTTGTTTTCCCAGCTGGACCAGCTGGTGATCGACTCAGCCGTGGAGAAGAGGGAGATGGAGCACAAGCACGCCCTGATCCAGCAGAGGGTGAGCCCCAAATTCCCAAATTCATGATTTTCCTGGAAATTCCGGATTTTCCTGACTTTTCTGGATGTCCCTCGTAGCTTTTGGGCAGCTCCAGATTCCTCAAATTCAGGATTTTCCTGATTTTTCTGATTTTTGTGGATATCCCTGAGAGCTTTGGGGCCGCCTCAAATTCAGGATTTTCCTGATTTTCCTGCCTTTTTCTTTTCAAATCTAAATTTAAATCCTACATTTAATATTCAAGTCAAAATAAAAAAAAAAAAACAGAATTTAAATAGAATAAATTTCTTTTTATTCTCACAATAGAATCTGAGGCATCTCAGATTTTCCACCCTTGGCAACGATTCCCAGCCTGAAGGTTGGGAATAAATAATGAATTACTGTTAATAATAATAAATTAAATTAATTTAATTATTTTTCTTTCCCTTCTCTTCTCCCTGCATTGCTGCCTGGCCCTGCAGACCCTCCTGCAGGTGAGTTCCCACCTGGATCTCCACCCTGATCCCAGAAATCCTGTGCAAAACTTTGGCATTTTGGCAGATTTGTCCCTTTTTCTTGCTTTATTAACCCCTCTCCACCCTGATCCCCTGAGGCCTGTCATTCTGAGTCTCTTTCCTCTCCCCAGGATTTCTCCTACGATGACTCCAAGGTGGAATTCAACGTGGATGCCCCCAACGGGGTGGTGATGGAGGGGTACCTCTTCAAGAGAGCCAGCAACGCCTTCAAAACCTGGAACAGGTGAGAAATTATTCCAAATAATTACTCCAATTAATTGAAATATTAATTTTAGCAATCAAATAAATATTTATATTTATATTTATATTACATATACTTAATAGAATAAATAAATACAATTCATTAATTATAAATACATTAATGATAATATTAATAATTAACATTATTCCAGTTAACTGATATAATTCAAATTTCACCTGATCTTGGGGCTGAGGCTCTGCACTCTTCCCTGCCTTACCCAACCCTTTCAAACAACTCTAATTCCAAACCTTTTTGGAAAAGGAATACCCCAATCTTATGGAATTAATTAATTTTTTTAATTAATTATTTTTTTTCCATGCAAATAAAGGCAATTTCTGTGTGTAAACAGTCCATTAAAGCATTTAATTAATGTATTTATTTTATTTATTTTATTTTATTTTATTGATTTATTTCAAAACCTAATGAAAATTGGAATTTTTAATGGGGAGGTGCTGATGTCTGTCTGTGTGCTTGTCCCCCCTCAGGAGGTGGTTTTCCATCCAGAACAGCCAGCTGGTCTACCAGAAGAAGCTAAAGGTCAGTGCAGCTGCCCCAGGTGACAGCAGGGGATGAGCCAAGTGATTGGTTAATTAATTAATTAGTTAGTTCATTAACCAACTGCTTGGCTGGGGAGGAGCAGGGATGTGGATCAGGGGACAGCAAGGCCACGAGTGGGCTCCAGGTAAAAAGCAGCAAAGATTTATGAAATAATTATTTATTAAGTAATTATTTATGGAATAAATATTTATTAAATATTTATTTGTAAAATAATTATTAATTAAATCATTACTTATTAAGTAATTATTTTGGGTGGTTGGGTTAGGAGTTTGGGGGGCTTGGGAAAACCTTGGGGGGGGGTTTGAGGCAGGAGAGAGTTTGGAGGATTTGGGAAGAATTTTGGAGGTTTTGGGTAGGAGGAATTTTAGAAGAATTGGGAAGAATTTTCTAGGGTTTGAGGCAGGAAGGACTTTGAAAGTGTTGGGAAGGAATTTGGAGGGTTTGGGCAGGAAGGATTTTGGGAAGGAATTTGGAGGAGTTGGGAAATAATTTTGCAGGGCTTGAGGCAGGGGGGGACTTTGGAAGTTTGGGAAGGAATTTGCAGGGTTTGGGCAGGGGGAACTTTGGAGGATTTAGGAAAGAGTTTGGAGGTTTTGGGAAGGAATTTGGAGGTTTTGGGAAGGAATTTGCAGGGTTTGGGCAGGGGGGACTTTGGAGGATTTAGGCAAGAGTTTGGAGGGTCTGGGCAGGAGTTTCCCAGTGGTGCCCTGGCCCCAGGAGCCCCCCAAGCCCCTCCAGGCCCCGCTGTGTCCCCAGGATGTGCTGACCGTGGTGGTGGAGGACCTGAGGCTCTGCACGGTCAAACCCTGCGAGGACATCGAGAGGAGGTTCTGCTTCGAGGTCGTGTCCCCCACCAAGTGAGTTTGGGGCTCCCCACGGATCCCTGGGTTGGAGTGGCAGCACCTCTGGCTGTCCAACCTTGTGGGAGGCATTTTTACCTGGAAACTTTGGGATGGGAAAAAGCCCCAACCTTGTGGGGCTGGAAAGTTTGGAAAGGGAACAACCCCAACCTTAAGGGGTAAATTTTTACCTGAAGGTGTTGTGAGGGAACACCCCAAGCTTGTGGGGTTAATTTTTGCCTGGAAAGTTTGGAGTGGGAGCACCCCAACCTCACAGGGTTAATTTTTACCTGGAAAATTTGGAGTGGGAACACCCCCAACCTTATGGGGTAGATTTTTACCTGGAAGCTTTGTAGTGGGAACCTCCCAACCTTGTGGGGTGAATTTTTGCCCTGCTGCAATTCCGGTGCTGAGGATGAAGAGGAGCAGCCTCACCCCAAGCCCTGGTGGTTTTTTTGGCACTCCCCACCCCGTTGCAGGAGCTGCATGCTGCAGGCTGACTCGGAGAAGCTGCGCCAGGCCTGGATCCAGGCTGTGCAAGCCAGCATCGCCTCCGCCTACCGCGAGAGCCCCGACTGCTTCTACATCGAGGTGAGCCCTGGGAAGGAAGGCTTGGAACTGCTCCTTTTACTGACTTTTTAAAACTTTATACAGCTCAGGAAAGAGGGGGAGATGTAGGAAGTTGATTTGTAAAAAGAATTCTCAAAATCTGGCAGAAAGCTCACTCAGTCTTGTACATGTATATGCAAACACTGAGATAAGCATTTACAACATAGTGTAACAAAAGCTAATAAGCCAAAAAACACTTAGAGTATGTTGTAATTTAAAAACAGTTAGCTTCTAATTGTAATAATATAAATTATAACATCTCACTCTGAAAATAAAATGAAAGTTCTTAAAACACCTCTCAGTTACCCCATCTCAAAAAAATCACTTAATCCAACACTAAGGTATCATCCCCCTCCTTTAGAGCCACTCCAAACCAAGCTGAGTTTGCTCTCCTCCAGGTGTTAATCTCCTGACTTATTGGAGGTGCTCATCTCCTGATTTTTTGGAGGTGCTGCAGGTGTTCATCTCCTGATTTTTTGCTTTTCCCCGCAGAGGCTGGACAGAACAGCCTCCCCCTCCACCAGCAGCATTGACTCAGCCACGGATTCGCGGGAGCGGGGCGGGAAGGGAGAGCCGATCCTGCAGAGGGTGCAGAGCATCCCTGGGAACGAGCAGTGCTGTGACTGTGGGCAGCCAGATCCCCGCTGGGCCAGCATCAACCTGGGCATCCTGCTCTGCATCGAGTGCTCCGGCATCCACAGGTGCTGCTGGGCTGTGGGATCCTGGAAAATCGTGGGGAAAATGGGCCGGGGTGGAGGGCAGGATCCTGGGGAAAATCATGGGGAAATGGGCAGGGCTGGAGGGCAGGATCCTGGGGAAATGGGCAGGGTTGGAGGGCAGGATTCCAGGGGAAAATCCCCAGGAAATGGGCTGGGGTGGAGGGTAGGATCCTGGGGAAAATCCTGGGAAAAATGGCTGGGGATGGAGGGCAGGATCCCAGGGAAAATGGGCAGGGATGGATTAAAAAATTCCCAGGAAAAAAAGCCCGGGAAGGGTTAAAAAATTCCCAGGAAAAATGGCCAGGGATGAAGTGCAGGATTCCAGGAAAAGTAGCAGAGCTGGAATTACAGAGAGATAATTCAGAACTCATTAGGGAAATTCTGGGCTTGTGGGATTGTAATTATTTCTGGATTTTCTCCCTCTTGGCTGAACAGGAGCCTGGGTGTTCACTGCTCCAAGGTCCGATCCCTCACGCTGGATTCCTGGGAGCCAGAGCTGCTGAAAGTGAGTGCTGGATTTTCCCAGGGAGAAATGCTGGGAATCCAGGGATTCCCTGGAAAAGGGGGGAGTTCCTCCCCTGAGCCTTTCATTCCCTCCCTGAATTTCACTTCCAGCTGATGTGTGAGCTGGGCAACAGCACCATGAACCAGATTTACGAGGCGCAGTGTGAGGAGCTGGGGCTGAAGAAACCAACAGCAGGGAGCTCCAGGTGAGCCCAAAATCCGTGGAAAAGCAGGTTCAGGGAAAACCTGAACTTCAAAACTCTTTTTGAAATTTGAGAAACAGGTGGACAAAACACCCCAGAGCAGCAGCTCCATCCCCTCATGGTGACTTTGAGCAAACCCAGTTCCTTCTGTTCAGGCAGGTCCAGAGACCTCAAAATGCCTCATTTTAGAGTTTGAGAAATAGGAATTTTAGACCTCAGGTGGAATAGGAATTTTAGGCCCAGAGAAGCAGCTCCAACTCCTCATCGTGGCTTTGGGCAAACCCAGTTCCTTCAGAGGGCTGCAAATGCCTCATTTAAAGTCCGGGAAATTGGAATTTTAGACATCAGGTGGATTTGTCCACACTCCAGAGCAGCAGCTCCATCCCCTCATGGCGGCTTTTCCCAAATCCTCTAAATTGCTGTTTCTGTGCTGCCCTCCTCCCTCAGGCAGGACAAGGAGGCCTGGATCAAGGTGAAGTACGTGGAGAAGAAGTTCCTGAAGAAGCTGCCGGGCGGGGAGACGCTGGCTGAGGCTGAGGCCGAGCCCAAGCGGCGCCGCTGGTGCGTCAAGAAGTGCCAGAGGCACAGCAGCGGCTCCCGGGCGCCCGCGGCGCGCAGGAGATACCGGCAGGAACCGGGGAGCGCCTGCCCCGCCATGCTGGCCTCAGGTGGGAAACCATGAGGGAACCTGGAAACCAAATATGGGGGGATATGCAGGAAATGCCGGCAGGAACCGGGGAGCACCTGCTCCACCATGCTGGCCTCAGGTAGGCACCTTGCAGGGAACCTGGAAACCAAACATGGAGGGATATGCAGGAAATACCGGCGGGAACCAGGGAACCCCTGCCCCGCCATGCTGTGTGCAGCTCCAGCTGGGGAAGGCTCTCCCTTGCTGGGCATTAATTCTGAGTTTCCCTGGGAAGCAGCAGCCACCCTGGAGAGGAAATTCCGCCGGGATTCTCTGTTCTGCCCCGACGAGCTCGACTCCCTCTTCTCCTACTTCGACACCGGCGCCGGCTCCGGCCCTCGCAGTAAGTACTCTGAAACAGATCTTGATTTTTATTTTTAATGGATTTTGGTTTTACCTCTGCAAGAGAGGCTGTGTCTAGCAAGGGCTCTGGCTGCTCTGAGGTGGCTTTGGTTTAAAATCTGTGAGATTTTGGGTTCTTAGGAAGGTTCTGACTGCTCTGGGATGATGTTGGTCAGAAATTTTGGGTTCTTAGGAAGGTTCTGCCTGCTCTCAGAACTCTGGGATAACTTTGGTCAGAAATTTCTGATATTTTGGGTTTTTAGAAAGGTTCTTAGGAAGCCCCTCCCTCCCCTCCCAGTTCAACTCTCTGTTGAGTTGAGATGTTGGGTCAATGGTCTTGAAGGTCTCTTCCAACCTGGTCATTCTGGGAATTTGGGGGAATTCCCAGGAACTGGGGAGGTGCTGTAGTCATCATCCCTGGGTGTGGCACTGGGTGCCAGGGTTGAGTTGAGCTCTTGGGGGCTGGGTTGGGCTCGATCTTGAAGGTGTCTGCCAACCTGGGGATTCTGTGGATTCTGTGGATTGATTCTGTGGGTGGATGGATGGATTGCTTGATTCTGTGGATGGGTTCTGTGGATGTTCTGTGATTCTGTGGATGGGTTCTGTGATTCTGTGGATGTTGTGGGTTCTGTGGATGGGTTCTGTGATTCTGTGAATGTTGTGGGTTCTGTGGATGGGTTCTGTGTTTTCTGTGACCTTCTCCCGGAGGAGGAGCAGCCCGGGCAGGCCTGGCTCTGGGCTGGGTGTTCAGGTGGCCGTGGTTTGTGTCCTGTTGGCCCCGCAGGTCTGAGCAGTGACAGTGGCCTGGGCGGGAGCACCGACGGCAGCGGCGACGCGCTCGTGTTCGGCTCCGTGGTGGACAGCGTCACCGAGGAAGGTGGGTGGCACGCGGGGGGTGGCACACGGAAGGGCTGAGGGCATTATCCAGAAACTTCTTGGCTGGAGCTCTCAGTAGAGTTGGGCTGAGGGCTTTTGAGGAGTTGATTGGGAAAGCAGAACTTTTCTATCGAATCAAGAACCTGAGTCCTGCTGGAGGGCAGGGTTAGATGGGGTTTTGGGGAAGGAGTTTGAGGGTTTTGGGAAGGAGTTCTTCCCTTTGAGCATGGGGAGGGGCTGGGGTGGGTTTCCCAGAGAAGCTGCCCCATCCCTGGCAGTGCCCAAGGTCAGGTTGGAGCACCCTGGGATAAGTTTTGGCAGCCCTTCCAATCCAGCCCAGTGCAGGATTCTATATTTTCTCATGGAATTTCCCCCAGTAAAAGGCAGAACTCCACAAACAATGCCAGGCCCAGCTTCCCTTAGGCAGCGTGGGTGACCAGGATGGCATGGGGACCATCCAAAATGCACTGAGACGCTTTGGGCTTTTTCGCCTTTGCTCTCCCTTTTCCCCTTTGCCCTCCTTTTTGCTCTCCTTTTGCCCTTTTCCCTTTTCTCTCCTTTTGCCCTTCCCTCTGCTTTTTCCCCTCTCCTTTTCCGCTTTCCCCCCTTTTTTCCTTCCCCTCTCCATCCGAACAGAGTGCGAGGTGTCGGATGACTCCAGCGGGGAGGCGGAGCTGGAGCAGGAGGTGTCGGACCTGGAGGAGGTTCGGGAGGTGCCGGCGGGGCTGGTTCTGTCCCGGGCCGCCCGGAGCCGGAACCTGCCCCTGCTGGCCGCTGCCCTGGCCCACGGAGCCGATGTCAACTGGGCCAACGAGGAGGACGAGGGCAAAACCCCCCTGATGCAGGCTGTCAGCGGGGTGAGGGTCCCCAGGGGCTGGGGATCTGGGGTGGGACAAGGGCAGAACCCCCCTGATGCAGCTGTCAGCGGGGTGAGGGGTTTGGGATCTGGGGTAGGGGGCTGGAGCATGGGAGCTGTTCAGTGCAGGTGAAATGGTGTGGGAATTCCCTCTGGGAATCTCTGGTGTGGTGTGGGAATTCCCTTTGGGAGTAGTCCAGTGTGGGTGAATTGGTGTGGGAATTCCCTTTGGGAATTGTCTGGTGTGGGTGAAATGGAGTGGGAATTCATTTGGGAATTAGGTATGGGTGAAATGGTGTGGGAATTCCCTATGGAAATTGGGTCTGGGTGAAATAGTATGGGAATTCCCTATGGAAATTGGGTCTGGCTGAACTGAGGTGGAAATTCCCTTTTTGGAATTGTCTGGTCTGGGTGAATTGATGTGTAAATGCCCTTTGGGAATTTGATATGGAAATTCTCAATTGTCCAGTCTGGCTGAACTCAGTGGAAATTCCCATTTTTTTCCCCATTTTGCCCCTTTCCCAGGGCTCCCTGCTGGCCTGTGAGTTCCTGCTGCAGAACGGGGCCGATGTGAACCAGCGGGACGCGCGGGGCCGGGCGCCGCTGCACCACGCCACCTACCTGGGGCACACCGGGTGAGTGCAGCCATCCCATCCCTGTCACCTACCTGGGCACACCGGGTGAGTTCTGTCACCTACCTGGGGCACACCAGGTGAGTGCCACCCATCCCTGCCACCTACCTGCCACATCCCTGCTGCCCATCCCATCCCTGCTTCCTGTGGGGAATTCCCACCTGGAGAGCACAAAACCTCAGGATCTGGGGGAATCCAGCTGGAAAATGCACATGCAGCTCGGGGCTGGCACGGGGCAGGGTGAGGTGGGAGATTGGGGTGCGATCTTTTCCGGGGTGGATGGGCAGGGGCTGAAGTGGAAGTCCCAGAGAATTTGAGGCTTCCCCATCCCTGGAAGTGCCCAAGGGCAGGTTGGAACAAGCTGGGATAAGGATGATGAGCTGGAATTCTGTTCCTTGGAACTGGAATTCTGTTCCTTGGAGCTGGAATTCTGTGACTCTCAAATTCCTTTCCTGAGGCTCCCTGTCCCCCAGGCAGGTGCGCCTGTTCCTGAAGCATGGGGCTGGAATTAGGGATTTGGGAATTCAGGAATTTTGTAATTCCTTTCCTCCCCAGGCAGGTGTGCCTGTTCCTGAAGCGTGGGGCCACCCAGGACACCCCGGACGGGGACGGGCAGGACCCGCTGAGCATCGCGGTGAGCGCGGCCAACGCCGACATCGTCACCCTGTGAGTGCCACCGGGGCTGGGGAATGCTGGGAGACACTGGGAGATACTGGGAAACACAGCCTGGGGACTGGGAAATACTGGGAACCAGCAGGGGCAGGAATAACCCACCCTCGTGTCCCCTGCAGGCTGCGGCTGGCGCGCATGAATGAGGAGATGCGGGAGGCAGAGGGGCCCCTGGGGCAGCCCGGGCAGTACCCCAGCAACAGCCCCACGGAGCTGCAGTACAGGAAATGCATCCAGGAGTTCATCAGCCTCAACATCGACGAGTGTTAGGGACAGCCCGGTGCCCTCGGCCGGCCCGGAGCCGGGCGGGGTCCGCGCGAGCCCCACCCTTGGATATTCGGTGTTTTCCCTGCTGGTTGGTCTGGTTGTGATGCCTGCACACCCCGAGGGTTGAGCTGCCCTCAGGGGGATTTTCCTTGTGGGGTTTGAGTTCTCATGCTTGACTACTGGATGGCTGATTTTTATTTTTTTAATTTTTTTTTGGAGGGTGTTTTTGGAGTAGGAGCCTACCCAGGGTATGACCATGGAGTGTGTGGGAAGTGTGGGACATGAGCTTAGAGGTTAAAAAACAACAAAAAAACAACAAAAAAAGGAAAAAAATTTCAAAAAGAGAAGAAAAGGAAAAACTTTCTGTGACCAGGGGAGAGCCACCAACACCAGGAGCAGACACAGCTCTCCCTGAAGAACTGGCTTGGAATTCTGGCAGGGATGGTGGCTGGAGCCTGCTCTGCCCTGGGAGGGCCCCGAGGTGCCCTCCAGGCTGGATTTGGGGCAGGGATGCTCCGGAGGCCCAGCCGGATCAGGATCAGGATTGGGATCTGGATCAGGATTCAGGATCTCCAGCTCCTCACCCGTTGCTGCTCTCAGGACTGAACCGGCCACGCTCCCCTCGACTGCTGCCCTGGCTGCTGGGCTGCCCAAAGCCATAGCTGCCCTGCTTCCACCCCTGCAATTCCCGGAAGGATTCCCATCCTGTGGCATTCCTGGAAGGATTCCCATCCCGTTGGAATACCCAGAAGGGTTCCAGCCCCACTGGAATTCCTGGAAGCAGCAGCACTGATCCCTGTCGCTGGCGATGGGCTTGGGGCAGGGAGGGGAACAAGCTCCAGCTGCTCGGTGCAATTTCACAGAATCCCAGATCCCATTGTCCCAGAATCCCAGATCCATTATCCCAGAATCCCCAGGCTGGGAGTCACCCTCAAGACCATGGAGCCCACCCCATGCCCCCACACCCCAACCAAACCACTTCTAATCCCAATCTTCTTCCAATCCCACCCAGGGATGGGGAATTTGCCTCCTCTGGGTTCCCTGCAGGTCTCCATGGGGGAAATTCCACCTGCAGGAATCCCCCCTGTGCTCCCCCCATGTGCTGGGGCAGCTCAGCAGCTTTGGAGCTCCCCAGCTCTGAGGAGCAGCAGAATTTTTGTGGTTTTCTCCTTTTTTTTCCTCTCTCAGCTGCAGTGAGGGAGCGTGGCTCTCCTCGGAGCACTTTGCTGCTGTCTCACCCTGTCCTGGGAGGGTTTATGGAGCTCAGGGGGCTCTGGAATCCTGGCTGGAGCTTGGAGGCTTTCCCAATGTCCCCAGCTGCAGCTGGCACCAGGGTTTGTCAGGATTTGGGGGCAGGATTTGGGGTCAGGTTCTGTCAGGATTTTGGATCCCAGTCCTGGCTGCTCCTGGCACAGTTAGGATGGGGCTGGGAGCTGATCCTGCTCCCGAACCCACCCGAAACCCCAGCCTGGCTCCAGCAGGACACCCCAGATCCCTGTGGAACCCCAAACCCTGCTGGATCCCAGCCTGGGGCTGGCCCATCCCGCGGGAATTCCCTCCCCATTGGTGCTGCCCCCACCCCTGGGGCAGCTCTTGGTGCTGATTCCCCCTCGAGCCGTGCAAACCCTTCAGGTCCTTCAGAGCTCTTGGGAGAAAAGAGAATTCTCACATTTGGGAGTGGAGGAGAATTGTCATCATTTGAGAAAAAATAATTTCTTCATTCTTGAGAGTGGAAGAGAGTTTTCACCATTTGAGAGCAAAGGAGTATTTTCACATTTAAGAAAAAAGGAGAATTTCACATTTGAGAGTGGAGAATATTCCTCATTTGGGAGCAAAGAGAATTTTCACCATTTGAGAGTGGAGGGGAATTTCTTCCCTCTTGAGAACAAAGGAGAATTTTCATATTTGAGAGTGAAGAATTTTCACATTTGAGAAAAAAGGAGAATTTTCACATTTGAGAGTTGAGAATTTTCCCCATTTGACAGTGAAGGAGAATTTCTTCACTCTTGAGAGCAAAGAAGAATTTCCACCATTTTTCACCACTTTTCAATTTTCACCAGGACAATTTCACACTCTGCTCTGCTCGTGGGTTTCAGCACGGCCATAATTTGAATTATTTGAATTTTTTAACCTGTACAGCAACTCCAAACTGATTTTCAACCCCCCCCCCGCTTTTCCCAGCTTTTTTAGGAGGAGTTCAAAACCCGACTGATCCTTTTGAGAACCGAGGAAAAACCACAGCTTCCATTTTTGGGTCATTTTATTTCACTTTTTCTGGGAATTCTGGCCACAAATCCTGGCCAGGCTGCACCCTGGAAGCTCAGACTCACTGCTGAAGTACATGAAGTTGGAAAAAAAATGTAAATATCGATGCAAAAAGAAGCATCTTGCAAGACAATGGATTTATTTAACATTGTATTGGTACTTTAAATATTTAGATTCAATGTATAAAAGCAACTTGGTGCACTTTTCCTATCTGACAGTATTTTGGGGGGTTTTATGTTCTTTTGTTATGGGTTTTGTGCTGTCTTTTTTAATCAGTGGAATTGTTTAAGTATTTAATTTATTCTTATTATTGATGTGCCCAGAGGACTAGTGCAATTTTTATTCAATACAGTTGGTCTGTATTTAATGTCAGGATTTTTTCCGTAGCGTTTTTAGGGAATATTTTTCCAAAATTGCCTCTTTTTTTTTTTTCCCTCATCCCAATTTTCCTCCCTTCCCCCCCTTTTCCCCTTTGTGTTTCCATCATGGATTCAAAGCCTCAAAATTTGAGATAAACCAAACACCCTGCAGTCCCCAAACCAAAACTTTCTCCAGGAAAAACACGTTAAGGATGCACTTCTCCCTGTTTCCTGTGTTTCTTGGACTTTTATGTCTCCTTGGGGGGGTTCTGGTGGGGTGTGTGCTCCAAATTTTGGAGGGGAGAGTGGGGAAGGCTCGCAGAAAATTCAATTTTCAAATTGAAATTTGAGCATTTCCAGGCTTTGAGGGGGATGAAAAAATGAACATCTTATTGTTTTTTCCTGCCTGAAACGCAGCTGGATTTGTGTTGTACCATCCTGGTTGGAAGATTTTGATGCCCTAAATTAGATTTTCTTTTTTTTTTTTATTTTATCTTTTATTTTTCCACGGGGGTGTGAGTGTTTTCTCTTGGATTTAACCACATTTAACAGGAGGAATTTAAAAGTTAAAACCCCTCAGCCACCAGGATCCTCCATCCTTGGGACTTTTTGGGATCTGGGGGAATTTTTCTCTCTTTATTTAACCCAAGTGCCTGGACTTGGATCCAGTCTGGGTTTGGATCTCTGATTCCAGCTGGGACTTTCAATATTCCAGGGTTTTTTCAGGTTATTCCAGCCTTGCTGCCTCTGAGCTGGGAAATTTCTTGGAGTATTTTAAAGGAAAAAATTAAAAAAAATAATGGCATTGGAAGATTTGATGCCTTTAACCAAAAATCCAGGTGTGAGAAGCTGAGCTGGGCCAGGCATCAAATGGAATTGTTTGTTGGAAAATACCTCTGAGATCATCAAATTAATTAACTGATCATTAATTAATCATCCTGCAGCTTCCAGGAGAGAACTGGAGGGAGGATTTTGGGATTGAGAGATCAGGAACATCAAAAATAGCAGGAAATATCAAAATGAGGATCGGGAACAGCAAAAAAATTTGTGATTTGTGCAAAAAAACCCCAGGAGCTGCTCAGGGAATGCACAGAATTCCTGCCGTGGGTGGAAAAATGGAATTTTGGAGTTTCCCAGCAATTCCTGGGTTGGGTTTTGGAGTTTCTTGGCAATTCCTGGGTTGAGATTTTGAGTTCCTCACCAATTCCTGGTTTGGGTTTGGGAGATTCTCACAATTTCTGATTGGAATTTTTGGGTTTCTCAACAATTCCTGGTTTTGGAGTTTTTTAGCAATTCCTGGTTGGAGTTTTTGAGTTCTTCAGCAATTCCTGGTTTGGATTTTGGGGTTCCTCAGCAGTTCCTGGTTTGGGTTTTTGGGTTCCTCAGCAGTTCCTGGTTGGAGTTTTGGAGTTCCGGGGTTCCTCAGCAATTCCTGCTGCTGTCCCTGCCCCTGTGTCCCTCTCAGGGCCAGCAGGGGCCCGGAGGTGACACCAGTGACAGAGCTGGTGACAGCCCTGGGGACGGAGGGGCTGAGGGACAGAATGGCTTTTGGGAGGTTCCAGGATGGGTGGGATGTCCCCATTTCCACGGGAACGGGGCTCACTTGGGAATGGGCTGGGGACACCGGGAGGGGACACCGGGACGGGACCAGCACGGAGGGGTTTGGCTGCAGATGCTGCTGTCCCCAGAGGTGGCACCAGGAGAGATCCCTGGGCCAGGCCAGAGATCCTCTTGGGCCAGCTCCGAGGGGTTTGGCCAGGCCAGAAGCCTTATTTGGTTATATTAGAGGGGTGTTTTGGCCATCTCAGACATTTTTGTGGCCATCTCAGAGGGTTTTGGCCACCTCAGATGTTTTTTGGTCAGTTCAGAAGGTTTCTGAACAGCTCAGAGGGGTTTTTGGCCATCTCGGACATTTTTTTGGCTATCTCACAGGGGGTTTTGCCATCTCAGAGGTTTCTGGCCAGCCCAAGGCTCTGCCCTCGCTGTAAATAAAATTAAACTCCCACCCCTGCTCTCGTCCCTCCCTGCTCTCTTTGCACCAGGATTTTTTAACCCTCTTCCCCCCTGCACCTCTGGAAATTCAAATTTTCTCTCTGTAATCACCTTTGTACAATTCCAAAGCTCTTTCTTGTGCTCTCTGCCTTTTTTCCCCTCTCCTTTCTCTGGTCTCTTGAAGCACTCTTAATAAAAATCTGGATAAAAACTCCTTCCCTCCTTCTTCTCAGCTTGGTTTCTTGCTGGATTAACCAAAATCTGCATTTTTAACCCCTTTTCCTTCTCCAGGCTGAGCTGTGGGGCACTGAATGGCACACAAAAATCTGGGTTTTTTTAAAAAATAGTCAAAATCTGTTTTCAGAGCATTTTATTATTTAAAACATAATTTTAAAAACCAAAGTGTGTAGGTTTCAAGAGAGTAAAATGCTCCTGTGCAAACATCCCCATCAAAAATAAAGTTTATTCTGTTTTATGTACAGATAAATTAACAAAAATTAACAAATATTAACAAAAATTAACAAAAATTAACATTATCTCTGTAATCTGCAACAAAACCACAGCATTCCACAGGAATCAGAGGGTTTTTCTGGGACCTGAACCATTCCAAGTCCTGCATTTTTTTCTCTTTATTTCCCTCTGGAACAGTCAGAGTTGGTGGGAATTACCCAGGAAATCCAAAAGCAGCAGGAATTCCAGAGGGAAGGAGGGGTTTGGGAATTCCAGGTGGGATCAGAGTCCAGGTGAGTTCCAAGCACTGCCAATGCTCAGGGAGCTCCCAACTGTGGACCCAGAACATCCCTGGCACTTTTCCCCCAGAACTGGGAATTCCAAGCGCTGCCAATGCTCAGAGCGCTCCCAGGTGTGGATCCAGGATGTCCCTGTCACGTTTCCCCCAGAATTTGGGAATTGCAGCCCCCAGCTCCTCGCAGCTGTCCCAGCTCCAGCTCCTGCCCCAGCGCTGCGGCCCGGGCTCCCTCCCGGCCGCTCCCCGGCTCCTGCCGCGGTTCCCGGGCGCTCCCCGGGGCCAGGCTGGGGCTGGAGCCCCCGGGGCCCCTCCTGGGCCGGAGCCTCTGCAGGCAGAAGAGCAGGGACAGGACCAGCGTGTCCAGGAGCAGCTCCAGCATCTCCACCACCGAGAGCACCGAGGAGCCGAACCACAGGCTCCACTGGCTGCCCATGCTGGACAGCAGCAGGTTCTCCTGGAAAACCCAAAATGATCAGGTACGGGACAGCTCTGGGCGTTTATTTTTATTTTTCTATGTTTTTC